GAGAGAGAGAGAGGTGTCAAATAATAGAATAGAACACTCTTATGAGACTCGGCCTCATTCTATGGGCGAGGTGAGTAGGCTGTACAACAATGTTCTGAAGTTTAATTACGTCAAATCTCCTTGAATGGCTTCACCATTAGCTCTCATTCATTTATTTTACATATAATAATTTTTCCCTTTATTTTTTTATTTGTTTTATATATAATAATTTTTTCCTCTATTTTTTTTAAAAAAATGAGATGGACATAAGAGAGTTAATCAGATTCACCCAAATAACTTTCCTCGACCAACCGAATCGATTTTCTGAACACTAGAACAGAAGTTACAAGAGAGAGGATTTGAGAGCTGTGAAGTGCCAGTGTGCTTCGAAGATGCTTTGGGAATATGTCTTCAGGAATGGAATGTTAATTTTGTCATAAACGGAGAATGAGCTAGCCAAGGCTGGAGTTGATGCTCAAGTGTTGACCATTTATTTATTAAATGAGAGAGTTGTAGCTCTTGTAATGTGGATAGGAGAGACGTAGATTTTTATTTTCAAGATTGCTCTCATGCAATTCTTTATTTCATGTACGGTTGTAATTTTTTGATTCATTAATTAATGGATGTGGTTTCTATAAGGTTGCAATTTTAAATAATTCAATTAATGTGTGTCTTTAAATTGTATCGTAATATGTAATTTTGGGGTAAAGAATTCTTAGGATTATCTAAAGGGCTAGCTTTCCATGCTTTCCCTACAGCGTAGAAGTTCTATCCTCCACTTTATCCAACTGTCGATTTTGAATAGAGGGTTAAGATTGCCCTAATCACAATGTCACATCTCAATATTATTTTATTTTCAATTTTTTTTATAAGTTATTTTAACATCAAATTTTAGGCGTTCATTCCTCTATTAAACTCGCACTAACGAAAAATATAAAAAAAATATTTTCAATAAAATAAAATGACAAAAAAACACCTGAAAGTTTCAAGGGGTGTTTTAGTCATTATATTTTATCGAAAAATTATTTTTAATATTTTTTATAGGTGCGCCCCAATGAGAAGATGACACATACCAAATTTCATATTCATACAATTGGTATATAAAAAAAAAACTTTGAGACGTCGGATCTAAAATCAAACGGTGGGTGAGTCTCTTGATCAAAATTGGACGGCTGGATGGTAGGGGAAGATAGAACTTCTATGATGTAGGGGAGGCATAGAAACCTTTCTCTTATCTAAAAATCTGGTTTCATATCTAATTATAAAATTATAAACTAAAAGAATGGTTAAAATCAATGTGCTGTAAGATGCACTTTTTTTGGGACTCAAAATATTTGTTTTTTTCATATTCATTCATCTCGATGTCGAGATGAACAATTAGAGGGCTTTTCAACATTGAAACAACCATTTCCAATAGATTTTTGAGGTATATCTTTACTACTACATTTTAAGGTTGCAACCTTATATAAACTTTTTCCTTAATTAATATCTAACATTTTGTTCAAAAAAAAAAAAAAAAAACAAAAAAAAAAAATTGTTTGAGAGGAGAGAGAAAGTGGAATGCGTAAAGTCTCTTTTAATTTTACCCGGACTTGGGCCGGGCGTAGGCCAGCCAAAGGGAAATAGAACCGGCCTAGGGCTGGAGCTGGCCCAGACGAAGCCGGGCTCATTGCCCGCCCTACACATACCTTTTTCTTGGGCGTGAAGTGGTGCTCATGGGTAGATACAGGCTCTTTTCTATCCAGAGAGACAATGCGATTGCTTCCTCTCCATGAAGGCTCCCTGCAAACAGCTGCACCATTCTCATTCACATCCGCCATCACTCTCTCTCTCTCTAAGCTGCACTCTCTCTCTCTCTCTCTCTCTAAGTTGCCTGCACGATGTGATTCTTTCGGGTGATGCTTATGTAGGCGCTAAACACAAGCATTTAGTTAACAAACTTACATAAAAGCGTATCACTCGATTATCAGTAAAAGTAAAGGACATAATTACGCCATGCCCTGCTACTCTTTTGGGACAAAGGTAATAATTTTTAATTATTCCCTCAATTATAAAAAAAATAAATGACAACACAATCACAAAGAGTGTAATCACGAGATACATATGTAAATAATCCAATCACCTAACCTTTACACCTTCCCCAATTCCACCCACCCTAATCCCACCTTTCCCTCATTCAAATTACCACTAGCTATTGCTCCTTGCAGCTACTTCACACATAGCATCACCAACATAACTTTACTATGGGTGAGGTCTGTATAAGGTGCTCTCTTTATATTAAAGTAATGGGCACCTCTAAAATTCATTTGAAGATTTAGTTTCGATGTCGCAGATTTATGATGGCTTAAAAATCTATTCTCATACTTAGTTATAAAATTTCAAATTTTAATTTTAAAAAATGGTAAGGAATGAACAGATTTATAAACACTTGAAAATTTTGAATATAGCCGGTATAACATCAGAATGCACAGTGTTTATGATTTGAAATTATTTTTATTTGATCAATTGGAGGGCCATCTAACATCAGAATACTCTCTTCTAGAGGATTTTTTGGGTGCACCTTACTTTAATAGTACAAGTTCACAACTTTATATAAAATTTTTCGTTTTTCTTATCAATAAACATATACGAATATTTTCTCATCTTTCCGTTATTTCCTCCCAAATCATCACAAAAGGCTATGGATCCTCCATCTCACTTTTACACCAATGAATGGTGTTCATTGAATCACCTTCCACAATCCACCTATCACATTTTCCACCATTATATCTTGCGCTAACAACTTCATTTCAGCCTCATTTGCAGTTACTGCACCAATAGGACCATAATAATTTTTTTATAGGGTTAGTGTTGCACCCACATGCTGTGGATAGTTAAAAGGTGCACGAGCACCTTTTAGAACCTGACCTCATCCAAGGCCCAAAAGTTAATTTTATTTATATTTTAAAAATTATATTTACTTAGAATTTGGGTTATAGCTTCATTTTTATATGGAGAATTAAATAAAAAATTGATAAAATATATTTTAAATAAAACATATTGACCAAAATACATTTAGAGTATTTTGATCAGTTTTTATTTGAAACAATTTTAAATCAGGAAAATGATTTGATAAGGGTGCGGCCCTATCAAAGTACGTAAAGCTTCCGTGCTCAAAACTTATTAAAAATTACAATTCAAGCATTCAAAGAAATTTACATCGGGCATCTCAGCTTAAACATTATGGTTGTAAAAATAATTAGGATTTCAAGCTCTAAAAATAGTGTATAGTATAACAAATTATCTAGACTGTTCATTTTGCCCTAAAAATAAGTGTTGATAGATCCGCAAGATCGGTACCTTTTTTTGAGCTTCCATTTTTATTGCCGGTTTTGGAAATTGATTTTAGAGATTTCTATTGCCAAAATTACTTTCCAAACAAGATTTGTGATGAGGCTTTATTTTGTTTTCATAAAGCCTAGGGTTTATGGAAACTTCGTCCTTTAAATTATTTGAACTGCCATTGTAAGTTTTGCATGAGAGAGTATATAGATAGTATTCTCTGGCAGTAGTAGGAAAGCTTTGGGCTTTTCCTAACGGATGAGACCGGTGTAAATGTTAATTTTGAAACATGCTTCAAAACAACACCTGTTATGAAGGATTGACGGACTACAACATAGTGTTGTCCTTATGGTCCACCTTGAGCTTACCCTTTCTTTTGTCTTAAGCCTTTTTCTTTTGGGTGGCGTGGTAGCACCTTGCTTCATAATTTACACCACACACAACTTCACCTGTTATATGATGGATGTAATTGGGTACATTTATTGCCTTCACTTTTCACACATGGAGATGATAAGATGATGCACTTGTATACATCTATTGCCGGCCTTTATTTCTCACTTTATAAATATTTGAGGCCCCATCGTTCATGTGGTTTTTACATTTCAGGGTCTTTATCACTTTTCCATGCATCAAATTCATGTTCCACGTTCTTCATGAACCAAAAGCATGATCAATAATGACACATTTTTGTTCATTCCCATGTTTTTTTATGCATAGAAAGCTCTCATTGCTATACTAGTTTGATGCACCAATGATAGGGTCATATGTACATAATGCAACATGTTTTAGTGAATTTTGATTAAAATCAAAGTCTCTTTTGACCCATGTGAAAATGTTTTGGAAATTGTAGTTTGAAGTGAGTGTTGAAATGGGACTCAATGATTCAGGAAAAATATTTTCGATTTGGCTGTATCCCAGAATGTACTCACCTGGATTGCTTATATCTTGAATTTCTGTCGAGTTGGGGGTGTTTAACATTTTGAAGAAAGCGAGTCCATCTTGTGCTTCCTAATCTGTTGCTGAATGACAATCTCCCGGACTAGACAACCCTTACTAGGGTTAACATGAAGTTGGAGTTTTTAGATTTTCTACTTATGGACGTGATAAACTCCCAGATCCGACCTAACCCTAACAAGGTTTAACCAGAAGTTCAAGTTTTCATAATTTCTACTTCTGGACGTGATAAACTCCTAGACCAGACCTAAAACTCACGGGGGGTTACTGGAAGTTGGATTTTTTTAGAGTTTCTACTGCAAATTAGCTTCGGTTATGGGGATTCGACCAAAATATTCATTTCAGGAAGTCATTGAAGAACCAACTATTTCAAGTGTTAAACCAATTTATATCATGAGATGGCTACTAAAAGCTCGATAAAAGTAATGACGGAGGATTTTGTGAAATTTCAATGTTTTTATGGTGTGAATTTTAGAAGGGGGTAGCCCAAGGTCCAATTCTTCCTAGGACCTTAAAAGTAAAATATGCATTGAAGAAACCACGATCCTCTGTCAACACAAAGGCAGCCATACAACTTTAGAATCCACCTGTGCTCATACTATTGGTGAACAAACGGGCAGTGATGGGATATATACAAATGGAATATCCTTAATGCTTTGAGTGATACAATAATAATACGAAAATGACAAAAAAATACAATAATAATACGAAAATGACTATATATACAAATGGAATATCCTTAATGCTTTGAGTGATCCTTTGTTTGATTTCTAAACAAGAATGCCAACTGCAAATGATATATGGGAATCTCTTTAAACAAAATATAAACAAGAGGATGCTAAAACAAAGAAGTTTCTCATTAGTAGATACTTGAATTTTAAAATTATAGAAGAAATATCAGTAATGGGTTTATGAGTTCAAGATCATTGCAAACCCACTAGCATCAAATGAAATTAAATTTGACGAGTCCTTCCATGTCGGTGCAATAATAGAAAAACTGCTTCCCTCTTGGAAAGGCTATAGAATAGATTAATACATAAGTCACAAGATTTGAGCCTAAAGCAATTGATGACTCATTTGATAATTAAAGAGGAGAATAGACTTCGAGATTTGAAAGTGCACAAATCTTAGATTAGAAACCCATATAATTAAATGTCTGAAAAAGAAAATCCAAGGATAGAAAAAATAAACAAAATTGCAGAAAAGAAAAAAGAGAAGAAAAAGGAAAAGCAAGACAACAAACTTCCAAAAGCAAAGATGGTTTATGACAAGGGAAAGAAGCTCATGGCATACTATTTTTGTGGAAAAGCTGGCCAAGTGCAGGAATTCCACAGAATTTGAAAGAAGCAGTTGGTTCCCTCCAATGTGGTCCAGGAAATATTTGTAGCCATGATGTCAAAAATAAATGCTGTAGGGGGTACAAAATGGTAGGTGGATTTAGAAGCCACTGGATATGTCTTCAATGATAGAAACATATTAAGGTGTTACGAAATGGTGGTTGAGGATACTATCATTTACATGGGCAATTCTTCTTCTTTCAAAGTTGTTAGTAAAGGAATGGTTGGATTGAAATTCACATCTAACAATGTCCTAGCCACTCCAGATGTTAATTGCGCCTCGAAGTCTAGAGAAATCTGGTCTCTACATACTTATTGAACAAGTGAGGTTTCAAAGATGTCTTTGAGTTAGAGAAATTCATCTTGTCAAATAATGGTGTCTTTGCAGGGTATGATAACCTTTGAAGGCATATTTAAACTCAATGTACATACTGAAAAAGGTACCTCTTCTTCTGTGTATATGATTGATTTCCTTTTTTTTTATAATATGATAGATTAGGTGAAGTTAATAATCATGCTTTGAGAAAAATAAATACTTTTAGACCTTATTCCTAAGTTTGAGAATTTAAAAAGTACTATGTGGGAAGCATGTACAATCAAAGATCACATGGAAACCCTATCCTAAAGCAGAAATAAGTTCCAAGATATTGGAATTGATGCGTAGTGATGTTTACAATTTAATTTGAGAGGAGTACAAACCAGTAGTGGGAAGAAATACTTATCAATTTTGTTGATATTTTCTCAAGATACATATATGTTTATTTGATTAGAAACAGAGTGGTAGTACTTGAGAAATTTAAGATTGGACACAATTTCTTAGACTCGTATGTAGAAATGTGGCCCGTCTTACTAATGTATTTTAGAAATGGATTTTGGCCCTAATTTTTAAGGAATATATAATCTATAATGTATAGACTATTAATATATAAAAGAAAATAAATTTAAAACTTAATAATAATAATGTTTGGAAAAAAATATTTAGACTATTGGCTTTAAGTTTTCTTTGGAGGGAACACCATTTACATCCATCTTTGGACGGATGGTTTATGCCTAGGGGGACGCAAATGTAGGAACATGCAACGCTTTTCCTTTAAGATTTGTGGACCCTAGATAAGACCCATATGAATAATGCCTGACGTATGGTCTTGGAGTATTGAGCATGGACCTTAGGTCAAGCACATTCAGCCTAAGTATATTTAATATATACTTCAAAACTTCGGCTCAGGCTCGGGCTGTTTACCTACTGGGCCCGACTTGGGCCCGGTGCAAAAAACCCTTGGCCAGCTCAGGCCCCTTAACAGCCCTTACCTCCAAGTTGAAGATTATGCCAAGGGATAAACCATTGTAATTCTGGAGGGGGAGAGACATATTTGTACAGGGAAGAGAGATGAGATATACCATTGCCATTCTAAATAGGCCTTCCTCTAGGGTGAGTATATAAACCATCGTCATTCTAAATGGGCCTTCCTCTAGAACACACTCCCGTTGAAGTTGTGTTGAAGGATATTTGTCTTGAACTTTTCCTATATACCAGGTAGTAATCGTAGCCAACTGTCTTAAGAAATTCATTTTCTTTTGATGAATTAAGTGTGGTTTCGATACAAGATCTTCTTTGGAGGTTGCCCACCTTGCCCCAATTCCAAACCATTCTTAATTGCACCAACATATGTACTAATGCACAAATAAAGTTGGATATCTGCATAACTTAATAATTGAAACCTGCCCATGAAATTAAGGGCACATTTAGGACGTGTGAAAATAATTTTCTTGAAATTATTTTCACATGAAAGAACTTCACTAAATAATTAGATGTAAAAGTTTTTTGCACCAATTGGTCCCTGCGTGTTTTTCACACCATTTGTTACCCAACTGGTGTGAAAAATCTCAGATTGCGGAGTTCTTTCATGTGAAAATACTGTCAGAAAAATATTTTTTTATCCATACCAAATGTGTCGTAAACTTCTACTATTTTCCATGTTCTTGTTGCATAACCAAAAAGAACTCAAAAATTAAATTTTAAAGCCCTTATCCTCATGTTATTACATCATTTGTACTACTACTATTAACACTAATACATGTTTCTACAATTTCTATTGCCTTCAGTATCTCTTTCACCTGGTGAGGGACACTTAGTTCACAAAAGAAAAAGATAGACATGTTAGAAGAGATACAGATGTTACTCAGGCAATGGGATATCTGCAAGGTCCTCTCTATAGGGGATATCTTTCTCTTCTTCTTTCTTCTTGCCTTCTTCACCTCCCTCCAATTGGTCTAGGGTTTCTTGGGCTTCTACAAAAGTGACTACCTTGGTCTTTCTTAGGGTTAGATAGATCACTCCTATAACATAGGCAGCCATTAAAGGGAAGACTATGATTCCTACTAAAACTGTTGCAAACTTGGGCAAGTTGTTGTGGATTAACCAGTGGACAAAGCCTGTGCTTAGGAAATAAACATTAATTCCAATTATGCAATACCCTAGGACCCATGTAATGATGAGAACCTGCAAAATAAAATAATAACTATGAGTGAGCAATCCCGGAGGAACTAATGCAATTAGTATTCCACTATGTTTTAATCAATAATTTACAATATTTAAATGTCATTGTCGTCATTAACATTATTACTGCAATTTTAATTATGGAAACAAATTATATAAGATTGCAACCCTATACTATAGAAGTAAGGTGTATCTCAAAAATCTCATAGACAAGATTTGACCATATTTGGAAAATCCTCCAATGATCTAGACTTTGAGATGTATGAATATAAAGAAAAAGAATAATTTCAATTCTTAAAGCTGGAGCATCCTGTAACAAGTTATCTAGGCCATGTATACTTTAAAATTTTTAAGTATTATAGATCTGCTTGATCTACACGCATTTGAGACATTTAAATTTCAAAATCAGGGTTGAACATGAATTTATCAAGCTATTGTAAAATTTTTGATATTAGAACTACATCTTTAGTCAAAATTTAGAAGTGTGCGTTAGGGAACCTTATATGAAGCTCACCCTACAATTATTCAATTGTTACATAGGAAAAATTCTAAAGGCCTCTTTCTTTCAAAATAGCGAGTATTGGACTAGTCAAAAGGAATATATCAACAGTACTAATATTAGTTCATGACAGAATATCGTGTACTCGTGTGGGAGCAAACTTTTCATTTAGTCTCTCAGTTAAAAGCTAATGTATCCTCATCCACCTACCTGGTGACCTTAAAGGAAAAAAAAAGAATCAAACCTCACTCTCTATGCACCAGAAACAACTCTAAGATTGAACAGAGATCATCGAATTTTGGAATACACGATCCAAGTACTTGAAGAACTCAAAATCAAACTTTCTTCATTGACAATTATCGTTTGATGATACTCATGCGAGCTCCAAAATTTTATATTAAAAAAAATAAAAAAATCCCCCAACTAGCACTTTCACTAGAGATTGCAAGTGTACCGTATGCTCCATTGTTAGAAAAACCGGACGATCTAATCAGTAATACCCGGTTAGATCGAAACCGACCCCTTGTCGGTTTTGGTTTCGGGAGGTTTTGGTGATCGGTCGGTATTTTAAAAATAAAAATTCAAAAAAATATCTATAAAATACCAAAAATAAGGAATTTGAATTTTTAATATTTTTTACATTGTGTAAATATTAAAAATTATTTTGATCATTAATACTCACTTTTAAAATCCAGTTTTTCATTAATTTTCAACTTCATTTGAAGGCAATTTGTTTTAATCATTATTTATATGATTTTTATATTTTAGTGTATGTTTTTTGCAGCATTTTAAATTTTTTTAATAATTTTTTGGCCACCCGGGACGTACCCCGTTAAAACGGTTGAATCGGCCTGTTTACCGGTTAGGCCGGTTAAACCGCTTTCGGCTCTATATCCGGTTAACCGTTTTGGTTTCTATTTTGTGATTACTGGTATGCTCCCTCTGGCGCAATATGAGTTATGTATCGACTACCCATAACCAAATTTACTGTTGTCCTTCCCATTATTGACCATATCTCTCCCTGATATAATGGTTTTTATTTTTTATTTTTTTTATGTAACTATTTTCTAGATTTTAGGGGTATTTGTATCTTTTTTTGTTGCAGAGAATTAAGAGCTATAGTTGGAAGTTAAATATGAAATAAATGAAGGGCTGGGATTTAATATTGATTAAGGTTTATGAAGGACCAACATTAGTCTTAGGATTCTTTTTCTTTCTATATATATGTCACTATTGGACTCCAAAAAAAAAAAAAGTAGAATTCATTATGGTTCTTGTGAAAGAATCTCATTTGGAGTAGACTCATTTGTAAAGCTAAGAGGGTATATTCTCCCATCCCCTTATTTTTTGAATTATTACTCTTATAATTTATTTATTTTATTTCTACCCTGGAGCACTTTCTTCTCTCTCAAATCACCATCATCCAATGTGTTAAAAAATTAAAAAATGCATATTACTTTTATATCTATGCATCTTGAGCATGACTCTGTGAAACGCCCACTCAAATCACCATCATCCAATGTGTTAAAAAATTAAAAAATGCATATTACTTTTATATCTATGCATCTTGAGCATGACTCTGTGAAACGCCCAATACCAAAAGGTGATTAAAGAAGGTAAATATTTGAGCACCAACCGTAGCAGATGTGATGAGGATTGAAGTTGAACACAATAATAAAAATACAACAAGCTTATATGCCAAATAAATATAATGACCACTTTAAAAAATATTTTGTGCTCATTGGAGTCCCTAAATCATTCTTAGTTATCCTTAATTTAAATCTTCCTATCATCATGTAATTCATCATCAAGTATGTGGTTGGGGAGGTTGGAAGCGTGACTAGAGATTTTTGTTGATTGTTTTCACACAGTATTTAGCTAGTTCTTTTTAGGTTTCGCAATGGGCAAGGTGACCCTTCTCAGCCCGGCATGCCTGGCCCTGAAAATTTAGGGCCTAGGCCACAATATATGGTCCAAGGGTTAGGCCAAGGCCTAGCTACCATGGCCTGAGCAACAGGTTAGGTCGCGCCTGGGCTATGGAAGTGCCGCCGGCTCTATGTTCGGCCTTATCTTTTTTCTCTATATTTCTTTGAATCTATTAGGCATGGCTATTGCAAGGACCGGCTTGGCCTTGACCTAGACAAGGCCTCTTTGGTAACCTGGGCCGGGCTCTAGCCCACTGCCAATCCTAGTTCTTTTTTTTTTTTTTTTATCATAATAATCATTTAGTATAACTTGACCTTTTTAGGGTTGTGGTGATAGCACCCCTATATTGTGGTTTTCATTCCCACCAATAACACTACATTACTAGTACATTCCAAAAGCTAACTTCTAATCTACTTGAAAAAAATGGGTAGGGGCTGTGTTCCCCACATCATTACCCAAAAAAAAAAAAAAACAAACGAAACTTTTTTAGGGTTAGTTTGCATTGTCTTGGCATTTAATTTCTTGTTCTGAATTTACATGTTTAGTACCCTTTATGTTAATTTTTTATGTCGACAAATGTAGTGGTTCTGTCAAATCAACATCCAAACTCCACTTTTCAACTATTTTAATATTTTAAAGAAAATTTATCTTAATATACTTCACTTTTCAAATATTTAATATTTTATCTTTTTTATACTATTCCAGGTCAAAATCGTCCATATTTAGATGGCCATCTTAAAATTAGGGATTGTATACTGAGATTATTTTCCTTTGGTATACGGAGGTCACAATTACTTATAACCATCCGAAATTTGATAGCTTAGATGTATTACAAAATTCAAATTTTTTTTGTTTGAACTTTGAGTTTGGTCAATGAAATAAATGTAGTCACTCCATTTCAAATCTAATGGTTAAAACTAATTGTGACCACCTTGTACCAAAGATAAATTAGGGATTGTATACTGAGACTATTTTCCTTTGGTATACGGAGGTCACAATCACTTATAACCATCCGAAATTTGATAGCTTAGATGTATTACAAAATTCAAATTTTTTTTCTTTGAACCTTGAGTTTGGTCAATGAAATAAATGTAGCCACTCCATTTCAAATCTAATGGTTAAAACTAATTGTGACCACCTTGTACCAAAGACAAATGATCTCTTTATATACTTTCCCTTAAAATTAAATGAAAACTTATGGGTAATATGTTGGACAGTTAATATCTCATGTGTGTTATGACAAATCTCCACATTTTAAATCAGTAGGTTACCATCGTTGGTAGAGTAGAAGAGAGTAAACTCACATAGATGGAATTGTTGTAGGGACCCAGTTTGGTCGACCCGCTGCTGAACTTGAGAAGTGGGATGAGGGTAAATGGCAGCACAAAAGAGAGTATTATCTGTAAAGTCCAATATATACATATATTGACAAAGTCATTTCTCTTTCCACATAAAAGGTCTTCATCTCTAAACACATAAATAAACATATTAAAAAAACATAAAAAAAATAAAAAAAATCAAACTCACTGAAGCGATTATAATGAGCTTGCCGGCGGCTGAGGCTCCACCAACAATGGATACTATTAAACTAGGTGTAATGGCAATGCACCTTGTTGTTAGATTACTAGCCCACTTCTTCATTCGAAGTTCTAAGTACCCCTGCAGGAGAAATAACATAAGATGACATCTTATCCTCTTGAAAAACAAAAATGTATGTAATCTAAAACAAAAGTATTATTTTCTTCCAAACCGAAAAACTCCCATCTTCTACAATTAAAGCTTCTCAACACTTTACCGTACAATAACTACCTGCATGATGAATTGACCCGCATATGTTCCTGTAACTGTAGAGCTCTGCCCCGATGCTAGTAAAGCAACTGCATACACTGTGGAACTGGACCTACCGAGAACATTCTGTAGGATGTAGCAAAAATGATTGTTAGTACCTAAGTCTTAATAATCAGAGTTTCCATTCGGAATCAACCTATACTGCAAGAGGATGTATTCGATGTTGGTTTGCTGTAGATATACGATCAAAAAAAATTTGAATATTTGGGTGATCAGGCAAATCCATCCTTAAATTGAAAAGTGCACACCCACCAATTCTGAATCGGCTCAATGATTTTTATAGTATCCATTAGTATTAGACTAACTATTAGCCGACCCCAAATAATTGAAAAAATGTTTTAATGATGATGATGAGACATATATATTTTATTTCTCCTATTTGGTACTCTTTTCTACCAAAACGTTTTGGGTGGATGTTACCTTGAGCAAAAAGGAGGCAGAGGTAAGATCAAGGTTGTTGCATTTATCTGCATTCTCCTGCGATATATCTGGTTTTGAGCATATGGTACCCGTAACCGCTACCACCGAAACATTGATTAGAAATGCCATGAAAAGTGGAAACGCTGTCTCTATGAAGAAGTATCTGCGTGCACTCTGCAACAACCCAAACACACATCTAATTCAAATTGAAGCATAAGTCCATCTCAGAGATAGAAGGACAGAATCCATTGAGCCAAAAATTCATATGAAAAGGATAAAATGGCCACAACATAAATAAGTGAAACCATTTTCAGTAACAGAGCTGTGAAAGAAACGGAAATCCAATAAGAATCGGGCTCGTGCTTGAGTAGTTGGCAGTTGAAGTTAGCAATGTTAAGTCTCGAATTCAGTTCCTATCTTAAAAAATCAATAAAGAGAGAGATGCCCAAGCTTATAAGACTAACATTTATCCCGTGAATCGACTGCGGGACCTTCCTCGATAAGACAAGCGCTGAGTGCAGATACAAATTATGCCTGCAAAATATTTTTCAAATACATGATTAATCCTGGAAAACATTACCCATTAAACAATTAAACAACACAATTCTTCATTTCCTAATTTGCTTTATTTGATTAAACAAGAAAAAAGAAGTACTTAATTCCATGATTCTCTCAACTTAGTTCAAAATACGACGCGCAATTATCATTTATATCTATTTGTACTTGTACATTGCTTTATGTATTTTTAATTTGCAATGCTCTTATGAGTGCCAATTTTGATCATAACTTGCCTACATGGACGGTGAAGACAATCGAAAACTCCTCCTTACTTTTATTGCTGTATTTTGTATTGGAGAAATACTAGGTTTTACTTTAAAATAGTATTTTTTAGAATCCTTTTTTCTATAATGCTTATTTTTTCTTATATCATGCTCTACGCAAAAGCGTATTTTGTATTGAAAAAACTTGTTTTGCGTCCTTTTAGGTGAGAAACCGACTGCCTAGAAAGAAAAAGTTCCTTTGTTATCTCTGCAATTCCTACAATTTCTTCCTAAGATTTGTTTGAGAGAGAGAGAGGGGCGGGGGCGGGGATGGGAGAGGGAGAGAGAGAGGAGGGGGGCGGGGAAGGGAGAGGAAGAGGAAGAGGGAGAGAGAGCAATTCTTGCAATTGTTTCCTAAAATTTGTTTGAGAGAGAAAACGGTGGCAGGGGGGGCCGAGAGAGAACTAAAAGCTAAATTAAGGAATAGAAATAACTAAATATATATATAAAAACGACGTAGTTGGAAACAAATTGACTTACAGTTAGAGAGATTTTGAAAAAAGAAGGGAGAAAAAAAACAAAAGAAAAAATATGACAATTGAAAATAAAAACTCACAATCAGTATAAAACATGTTTAAATTGTATGTATAATTTTTGTACAAACTAAAAATATATAAAAAAACGACGTAGTTAGAAACAAATTGACATACAGTTAGAAAGATTTTGAAAAAAGAAAGATGAAAAAAAACAAAAGAAAAAATATGACAATTGAAAATAAAAACTCACAATCAATATAAAACATGTCTAAATTGTATGTATAATTTTTGTACAAACTAAAAATTTATAAAAAAACGACGTAGTTAGAAACAAATTGACATACAGTTAGAGAGATTTTGAAAAAAGAAAGAAGAAAAAAAACAAAAGAAAAAATATGACAATTGAAAATAAAAACTCACAATCAATATAAAACATGTCTAAATTGTATGCATAATTTTTGTACATGGTTGCTCTAAGTTTATATATTTTCTTTTTTCATTTTTTGAATATATACCGGTGTTGTGCTCCGGTATTTGGATGAACAGGAGCAGAATCCGTGTAACTCGGTCGAGTCCAAAACTCAATTGAATATTAAACACTCAAGGAGAGAGAGAGAGGATTACGGTGAAACGATAGCCCCAAGGAGAGCGATGGCAGCACCGGTAGCGCCATTACCACTAAGCTTGGGAATGAACATTCCCTTCAATACCTCTGATGCCTTTGGCTTTGCATACGCCAACTCCCCAATGTAGCAAGCAGCCATCAGAAACACCATGGAAGCCATCAAAAGCTCCAGCTTTCTAATCTATTATTTAATTTACACAAAAAAAAAATCATCACAAACTGAAAAAATGACTTCCTTTTTGCTTTTAAGTTTTAGGTGATCAAGTTTTATCGACTTGTTATAATTTTTGTCAAAAGATATATTGGACATTTTATGGATATCACACTGTGCCAGGTGCATTAGTTGATGCACCAAAACCCCACAACTATGGGAAAATTAAGTAGGAGCAAAAAAATAAGTATGGAATTATTGTACGGTCTATATTTTCTGAATTTTACATTACAGTCCTATTTATGGGTGATTTTCTTTTGTTCTTGATTTTCGCCTAGTTGGATGTTGGCAACATCGAGCCATTGTTTATGTTTTTAATTCTTTTTTATTTTTATGACAACTAGGGTGGGACAATACCCCAAAAAGGTAAACCGCCTCACATCTAAGATGGTTCGATATTTGCATCATTGAACTATTTTATCAAATTGCCGTATACTTCAAAAAAGAAAAAATAAAAAATAAAAAATGTATGAGCAGTTTAATTTCAACAATATCAAACTGCCCAACATCCCACCCTCTCCTACTCTCCTACATAGTAAAGCTGGTCTCACAGCTTTATGTTACATGGAGCATGCAATTTAAATTGCGTGGTTTGAATAAGGTGCATAGCTTCTCCTATACAACTGCACTTTAGCTTATACTATACAAGTAAGGCGCAACTCTAAATTATACCATAAGATTTAGTTTCAGTTTCAGAAACCTTATGATGGTTTAAAAATCTATGTTCAACAATATTTATAAAATCTAAAATTCAAAAGTTAGTGCATATTGAGCATATTTATGAATATGTCAAAATCTTAAAAATAGATAGTCGAGATAACTTATTACAAGATGAAATATTTTTAGTACTTTAAATTCATTTTTTCCTTTGCAACATACTTCTCGAGGTCAAGATGATTAATTGCAAGGCTGTCAAACTTCAGAATGCTCTTTCCGCCTTACTTCTATACTATAAGATTGCAACCTTATATAAACATTTTTCGTTTATGATAGGTGTGGCATGCCTGATAATGGTCCCAAAATATTTTTTCTACTTTCATCACATCACCATCCAATCACGGTTTTAACGGTGATTGAGAGGGAGCAAGATACACCACAAAAAGACACTACACCAAAGATGTGTCCAATTAATCACAATCACCATCCGTCCATTGATCAGACAACCTAATGAACTATTTCCTATGGGTGCGGTTTCTATAAGGTGTCAACCTCAAAAAATCAAAGTATGGTGCACTCATAAATCTTGCTAAAAGCTGCAGTTTTGATGCTGTGGACCCTTGCTATGATCTAAAAATCTGCTCACCTCTAATTATGAAATTTAAAATCTTAAAAATGGTATAGATTGAGCAGATACATATAAGAAAAAAAATTGAAACTAGATGGTCTAAATTGCAATGTCTTTTTTTCATATTCATATATGTCGAGGTCGAGATAATCAATTCTAGAGAGATTTTTGATGTGGGTAGCAGCCTTCCTATGTGGATTTTTAAGATAAGCACATATAAATTCTATTCTTTTTCTATTATCTATACAATTAAAATACTTTCTGCCCCTTAATTTAATTTAATTTACTCTTCTCTTTCTCTCATTTGTTTACTATTTGTTACCCCATATCTTTGCAGGCCGAGGAGGAGGAAGGTGTTGAGGGCAGTGATGAGAACTCCGACCCATATTGGAATATGAAAGAGGATATGGAGAGCAGCAGCCGTGCCAACAACTGGTTAGAGAGAGAAAGACCAAGGAATTAGTGTTTAGAGAGACAAGTAAAGATGTGTTTGTTCAATAAATGAAGAGTTTTTTTGTTGAAGTTTATTACCTTCGGGGATATCAGCGGAGATGACAGCCACTTCGGCTAGTATCCAAAGGCAGTAATTCACATACTTTGGATACTCTTGCCTGCAGTGCTCCGCCAAATGCTTTCCTGCACAAACATTCCGAAATCACTTATATTTACACTCTCTCTCTCTCTCTCTTTCCAGAAATTACATAAATTAGCACACTCTCTCTATCTCTCTCCTTTGCTTTTGCATAGTTTTTCTTTCTATTGTGTTTTTTCAAGTGTGGATGGTAGTTATTATTTTTAATTTTTTTTGGGTAGCGGTAAAACGAGTTTTTGAAAAATCAAACCAACCTCGGAAACCGGCAAGGGTTCATTAAACTAAGCACATCCAAATAAAGTTGAAAGTAGTGAAAAAATTCGGCAAGAGTTCATTAAACTAAGCACATCCAAATGAAGTTGAAAGTAGTGAAAAATTTGATTTTAAAACAATGATTCGTAGTTAGGGTTATTTTTCAAAATTTAAAAAAAAAGATAAAAAAAATGTAAAAGTATTCATAACCAAAACACTTTCCAATCTTTGCTAAAATGATAAAAAAAAAAAATTTAAAATACATTACAAAAAATTCCCTTATTTTTTGAGATTATATATATATATTTAATTTTTTTAATACCAAACCGGAGCACCAAAACCAGATCGGCCAGTGCCCGGTTCTGGTTTGACCTGCCGAACACGGGGTAAAACACCTTAAGTAGAGCACCTTGGTTTCATTTCTTGCATTCTCTATTTTTTATTTTTTATTTTTCTCTCTTCTGTCTTGGCCTCCTTCAATTTTGGGTTTTTCATAACTTCCTTTACGTTTCACTCTCTCTCCTTACCTGTAGTGATCCCCAGGTTTGCTGAAAGTGTCTGAATCATAACAATAAAGATGATCCCAACGAGCACCACCCATAGCAGCTGTTAAACGCACCGTATTCCGTTATGTTTTCACCAGAAAAACCCAATATTACCAACCCATACCTGAGAGAAAATCAAAAGACAATTTCTCTCTCATCCTACCTCATACGTGTAGCTCGCTCCTGCTTGAAGATCCGTCATCACTGTAACAACAAATTGATTCAGTCCCACACATAGAGAGAGAATGTCATCTAACCATGAAACCAAGAAAATTATGATTCTCAGAGAGAGCGAGAGAGAGAGAGCAAAGTAAGAGTAGGAGGAATTACAGTTGCCGGGATCAAGATAGGCCAGAGATACGAGGAAGCCAGGCCCAACGTATGACATAAACTTTTTCCAACCTGGTTCCTAGAGAGAGAAAGAGAGAGGAAGAGAGAGAAAACTGTCAAATAATGGAATAGAAGTTACAGGAGAGAAGGGGTGGAATAGAGTTTGAGAGGGGAGAGAAACTTGATTGCATGCCTTTTTCTCGGGCGTGATGTTGTGCTCAGTAATGGAGGAGGCGGGTTCTTCTACATCCTCATCCACAGCGACTATGCGATTGCTTCCCCTCCATGAAGGCTCCTTGCACACAGCTGCACCATTCCCAACCTCCATCTCTTTCTCTCTCTAAACTGTACTCTCTCTCTCTCGCTCTAACTTGCATCATGTGACTCCTTGCGGCGATACTTATATATACAGGCGCCAGAAGCATTTCGTCAAAAAAACTCAAATAAAAGTTGTGAAAGTCACGTGGCTTAGGTGTAAAGGTCTCTTAATTCACCTGCTTAAAAAAATCCTCTTATAAATTCAATCAGAAAGAACCTCGTATAAATGCGTATTATTCGATTATTATATTGGGAAAGTGGGATAAACTAAACGGGATAGGTGTCTTGATCAGTGTTGTCGCTAGCTTCCGAGTGTCATGGATTTTACGGAAAAAAAAAAAAGTTTATATAAGGTTGCAACCTTAAAATGTAGAATTACATAAGCACTTAAAAAATTCATCCGAAAAGGTTGTTTTAATGTTGAAAAACCATCTAATTGATCATCTCGACTGTCGAGATGTATGAATATGGAAAAGAAAAAAGAAATTTGAGTACCAAAAATAGTGCATCTTACAACATAATCTAGACCGCCCATTTTCATGATTTTCATATATATATAGATTTACTTGATTTTAAGTATTTTTGGAGATTAAAGTTTTATAATTAGATACAAAAATAGATTTTCAGATAATCCTAATAAATTTTTATAAAAAAATTACTTGTTATGATAAAATTTGGAGGTGTGCCTTAATTGGATTGTTTAAGGTCATATCCATATAGAAACCGTACCAAAAAAAAATGGATTGTATACAATGAGATCATTCACCTTTGGAATTGGGAGGCTACAGTTACTTACAACCATCCGATGTGAAATGTGATAGCTTGGATGTGTCACAAAGTTTAAGATAATTTCTTTTGAACTTTGAGCATAGTCAATGAAATAAATACAACCACCTAATTTCATATCCAATGATCAAGATTAGTTGTGACCACCTTGTAGAAAAAGTAAATGGTGTTGTTATATACTTTCTCAAACAAAAAAAAAAGACCAGTTCCACGCTTCAACCCATTCAGAGGAAAATTTTGGAATTTTTAAAGAGTAATATTAATAAATTATATATATTCACATATACAAATATATTAAAATAATAAAAAATTTTAAAATAAAAAATTATATATATAAAAATAATATAATTATGTGCTTCATCTGGAGAGGCCGAACCACTGTGAAGCGGGCTGAAGCGTAGAATTGACTTTTTGAAAGACAATGTTGTGCTTCGGACTGGAGAGCTTCTGTCTGTTTTTTTTCTTTGGTCTACGCCGAGTGAAACGAATCTGACAAAATTGATCTCAATAGCTCTCGCTCTCTTTGTCTAGAAAATCTACTCTCTCTCTTTATCGGATAGTAATGCTAAGGCTTTGAACCATCTAAGGCACAATTCAAATAGTGTCAAAGATGTGAATTTGTACCCAAAATATATGTGATGGCTTGAAAATTTATTTGTATCTCTAATTATATTATTTAAGGCTTAAAAAATAGTATAGATCAAGCAGATATATAAACACTTGAAAGTTGAAGATGTAGATAATATGTTAAAAGATACACTATTTTCAAGACTTTGAAATCCACTTTTATATATATATATATTATTCATATATTTCAAGATCAAGATGGTAAGATTGGAGACTTTTTCGACATCATAACAATTTTTTTATGCCTTAATTTGATTGTTTAGGACATCAATATATAAAATAAACTTTTTCTAATGGCTCTGTCTTGGCGTGTTGAGTATGACTCCATGTAAACCTTGAAATCAAAATGGTGGCCTGAGAATGCAAAAATTTGAGCACAACTGTCCAACCGTGGCAGGCGTGATGGAGTTGAACGCAATAATAAATATGCAACAAACTTTCGCCAATTATTGAATAAGATAATTACCCCAAAAAATTATTAAATAAGATGCTTTCATCCTATGAAATATATGTCAACGGGAACAACGGAATATAAATAAATATAAATAATTATTTATACGGTAAAAATATATAAGTAAAACACAATCAGTTTTGGTTGACTTTCACTTGTGACAAGCAACAGGTTCGTTGCATGTTTTGACCAACACAATGCTTTTATAGATGAACGTAAAAAATTATTGTTGGATAGAGATACATAGTACTGTTCTTTATTTAAGTTCTTGTGCTCGTTTCAAAATATGAAAAACTTAATAATGCTTTTGATTATAAGCATACAAAAGTTTTGTAATCCAAATTTGAAATTTTTAATGCAAACCAATAAGTTGTTAAAGGCAATATGAATTTGGAGCTGCCTTTCACTTTTTCTATTAAAAATCCTCTCTCTCTCTTTGTTTCTTCTCTCTTTTTTCAATGATGAAACCCCAATGAATCAACTCATGTATTTTTTTTAAAATTTATCTCCTTTCTCCGTCTTTCTATATTTTGCCTGTGTCGTTCTTCAATTTGTTCAAGGTTACTCCAGAAAGCCAACATTTTATACAAAGTAGAGTTTCATTAAATAAGATTTTCATGCATTTCAACTAATTTACACAAAAATTTACTCCTCTAGAGAAATCAAACACGAAAGCATTATTTCTATCGTAGCAAGTTGAGAGAATATAATACTCATTTTTTTGGAAACTTACTAAATTCCGAGAGAGAGAGAGGGAACAAGTACTTAAAGGTGAAATTCAATTTTTACCTATGTTTGCATGTGTGTAAAAAATAAATAGATTAAATCAAGTATAATGTCTATGTGCACGTAAAAAAGGTCCTAGTGTTGAATAGAGGCCATTCAAATTTTGTTTCTCTCTTGCTACCCGCCAATTTTCTTTTTTAATGTTATTCATAAAAGCTACATTTTTTAAGTTCTATTTACCAATAGAGCAGGGGTTATTTTGGTGGTATAGAGATCCCACACTGTCTATTTTCTAATCTCTTGACCAACTTACCCCTTTGATTGACCATTTTCTTCTTAAACAAAAGTGAGAAAGACGCCCATATCTATTCCTTTCTAAACCCCACTCTCTCTATAATGAGTTTCTTTTTCTCTCTCCTTGCGTTTCTCTCCAAACCTCTTTTTCTTTCTTTTTCTCACCCATCTCTCTTTCGGCCCTTTTTTTAGAGAGAGATAGGAACTCGTTATAGAGAGAGATAGGGGTTTAGAAATAAATAGATATATGCATTTTTCTTACTTTTATTTGGGGTAAAAAATGAACCGTCAAAAGGCGTAAAGTTATTCTAAAGGGTTAGAAGGTATATCATACAGGATCTCTATCCTGTCAAAAATGTTTTCATATCCTAAATTGGAAATAGAAGTTCAAAATAGGGTGTATAGAGATATTTTTCCTCATTTATTTGGTAGCATATTGAGAGAGCATCAAAGTCATTTCCTTGAAAATTTATATAGTCTATGTGAGAGAGAGAGAGAGAGAATACTTTGAAGTAAATTTTAGGCTCTGCTTGCATATGTATGTGTGCATGACAAATCAAATCAAACATATATTTTATGTGCATGAAAAAAATAAAGATCTAATATTAATTAGAGAGCCCCCAAGTTTTGCATGGTCGACCCTAAAAGGTGATTTACTGAAATTGGCATATAATCTATGCAAGTTGATATTGCGTATATGTCGAGAGAAAACAATAATTTGTTTTTTTTCTTTTTCCCTAGATGGATGTAATACTATAGCCTACCCTAAAATATGGTATTAAGGCATTAGAGCCTTATTACAATGCTAAGAAATCATTGAAGAGGTATAAGAGTGAAATCTTTCAAGAAAACTATAAACATATTGCAACTCTCTCTCTTTCTCTCTCTCATCTTAGGAGGTGAATTATTATTTTTTTTGACAAAAACTAGTATACTCTCAAGAAAATTTATTAAGCGATATAAACTCTCTCTCTCGTCCATCTTAGGAGGTAAAATTATTTTCTTTCACAAAAGCTAGTGTACTCTCAAGAAAATGCATTAGTGATATAGTATCTCCCTCAAGCGCACACTTACACACTCTCTACAAACACACAGACATATGCTTATATAATTGGAACTTTAAAAGATAGAAATATTAGTTCATATACAAGCAAGTCAAAATCTAAGTTTACACATAAATGGAACTTTATAAATTTAGTTAAGGTAAAAAGAAGAATTCATAATCAAATGAATTCTTTGTGATGGTGATGGTGATAGTGATGGAGATAAAAAGATGGTGATAAGTTTCACAATCATTTGATAATTAAGAGACATTGGAATTCCTATGAGATATAGTATATTAGGTTTTTCCGATAAAATCATTCCAGTTATCATGCACTGTAACACACTGTGCTTTTCAAGACAATATAATAAAATAATAATCCATTATGATTTTAAAGAAAAGATTTAAATTTTTTCTAATTTTGGTATTTCTATATGTGAAAATTCAATTGAATTTAATTCAAAATAAAATTAATACCCAAATTTTTAACTAAATGCTCTTTTTCATGCTTACTATGTTTAATTTTCAATCATCACTATATTGTAAATAATAACGAAATATTAAAAGGAATAAAATTTCACATTTTACTAATTAAAACAATTATGACTGCTCTCCTTTTTAATAGTTTATTCGATTCCAAGTGCCAATATTATCAACTACTAAGTTGACCATCTGAAGTGTCTAAAAGATAATTGGAAATGTGACCTTATGTTGTCTCTTAGCAATTAAAAATGATTGTCATTTAAATTCGTTTTTATTTATTCATTAATAATACTACATAATTATATTATTGAAAACATGAATTGACTTTCTACTTAATTATCATGATAGCCATAACTGAAACGTAATTTTGTTGATATAATTAGTAACTCTGCTCTATTACAATCTTTAAATTTATACTCAATGCTAAATTAAATTAGATTTATACTTTGGGTGCGGTTTGTATATAGCGTGGGCTTTAAACAATCAAATTAGAGGCTACCTTTAAGTAGTGTTGAGAAATGTGGTTTTAATATGGAATATTTTTTGGATCGCCTTAAAATATATTTTCATCTTTATTTGTAAATTTTAAAACTTTTAAACT